ATAGCTACGCCCAGGAGTACCCAAGATGGGGAGGGGCTGGCTACCCGCCGGTCGCCCACAGCGCCCCCTGTGGTGGGAAAACGAACTCTTCCCTCTGGGGCCGGTCACGTGAATAGGGCTGGGCCCAGCCCCTCACCCTGACCCCACAATGACCCTGCAATCTCTCCAGTAAATTCTGGGGGTACCCAAACAGAGCCCTGACGCGTGGCCATCAGCGACCCTCTTTTCCTGGACTTCGGGGCCTCACTTACGAAGCTTCCTCTTGGGAACCTCGGGGAACCCAGAGGCGACCCCGGCCACGGAGCGTAAGGAGATTCCCTCTAGAGACCCAGGGTGGAGATGGGGGCTTTTTAAGAGTTGAGAAATGGCTCAGAGTGGGGTGAGAATGGGCGGACCCAGAATCTAGGGTCAGGTGAAGCTAGCGACTTGAAAGCCTGTGAGGAATGAGAGGAAGGTGTTTAGTACAATGGTGAAGCAGCTTAGTTTAGTGGGAATAGGGCTTGACCATTGCCAATTACCTAGTCGACTTTATAGTAATATGAATATCTGATTAAGTGGAAAAAATGAACACCAGTTGAATTTGTGCTTTTGTCTATGTTAAAACTTCCTGCATACAAAACTAACTGAGAAAAATGAACTGTTGGAGAGAGTGGGTTTTTCCCTTTTCAGTTTGTGCAGATTTTGTCCAATACATAGTAATTGATTTTTGTTTGATTTTGAAAGTACTTCTGGCTGGGCTCTAGCTCTCCAGCCTTTGGAAAATCATTTTACTACTTTAGACTTGGGTTTCCATTTCTGCAAAATGAGGAGCTTGAACCAGATGAAGGGATGGATGTAAAATGTAGATCGAAGAGCTCTCAAAACATTTTAAGTGAAAAAAAGAAAAGCAAATACGTACAGTGTGAGATCACGTGTTTAATGGTAAAAAACATATAATGTTATAGTTGCATGTATTTATGTATTTGTACAGAAAAAGAGTGGAAAGCTATGTGACAACTAGTTAACATTGGTTATCTCAGGAAAAGAAGGTGGAATCGGGTGATGGCCAAAAGGAACAGAAGGGACTTATGCTATTGTTTGGATTTTTTATGAGAATGTTACCTTAGAAACATTAAAATGAATAAGTTAAAATACAAATAAAGTATATGATTGCTAAGATTCTTTCTAGGGAAACCTTAGATCTCAACTTTGATTTTTCTCCCCAGATGGACATAAAGAATTATCAAAATTATTGAACACCACACACACACGCACACATACTCTCACACACACCTTGCACCAGTGGGTAAAACATAGGAAAACACTACTGATTTGTAGCCATCTAAATCAAGAGAGGGCTTTGCTTTGTGAATATTAATATGATTCGTGACGGTTGTCTTCGCTTTCAGTTTGGCCAAGAAGGAAGTCCTGTGGTCGCTCGGTGATTCCATTTTAATGCTAACTAGCAGAATGTTTTCTAGTTTGTTGCTTAGGTCACTCAACTGGCATTAAAACTGCCAAGATAGAGACCTTTGGACTATCCAAGTGTATTCAAGGATAGTCCATTTCTCCCAGATCAAGATATGCACCCAGAGACCTGATTTTCAGGCAAAGTTGAAAGAGCCAACCCTAGTAGCTGCAAACAGTTTTTTGGCTACCAGTCATTAACATAATAATGTGGTGCAAAGGCGTGTCTAATTTTTTTTTAAAAGGATGTTCTGATTGGTGAAACAGGTGATTTCCTGGTTTGGTGCTGCTGTCCCAAAACGGTGGGTCATATCTGCTGTATCCTTTTCCAGAACTCTTTACCCCAAGCAATCCTCATTTCTTTAGTGGTACATATTGACGGTAGGAAACCCAGTAGTGACAGTTTGACAAGAATGTTAGTGATAAGTAGACTAATAGAGTTTTTAGATTTAAGACACTGAAATAACCAAAAGTTTCCTCATTTCTCTAAAAATCTGTATTAGTCTCTGGAATCTGCATAATGCTCTATTTAAGTTATTTATATCAAGTAAGCCCAGAGTTCTAAATATTGTGACTGGCTTAATAGATAGTTGTTGAATGAAATTTCACAAAAATATCCCAAACTGGGAGACTTTCCTTGCTAACTCTTTTCCTCCCATTTCCTCATTTCTACTCTCCTCTATTTTGTCTATTTGTTAGTTATCTGTTTTCAATCTTATCTGAAAACCCTTCGTTTTCTTTCACTGAGTTTTTCTTAAATTCCTGCAGAGTTTTAAGGACTGATGAAATGAAAAGAGAATTTTTAAGGTATGGGTTATTTGGGGACTGAAAAGTTAAACTGCCATCTGTTCCCTTTCCATGGATTCCTATTAAATGCCTTTGATATGTGTAGATTGAATTTCTGTGATGAGAGTGCTTGAACTACTCTGTTAGTAGGAAATATATTACAAGGAAAAACCATGCCACACTGGTTACTCTCCCTAAAAGCAGGCAGGAGTTTCAAAACAGCTCTCAGTGTTTACTTAGTTCCTGGTTGGTGATTTTTCTAGACCTGTAGTTCAGGCAGAGTAAATTCAGACAACCATCCCAACTCTTTCTGACATTAAGGGATCAAACCACAGAGAAGTACTGATAAGTTGGGAAAGCATGTGTGTCATAACCAGAGGAGTAGGTGGCTTTTCCTATATTGCCATGTCTTCCTGCTTGTATGCTTCCGCATGTCAAGGTGTCATTCTGGGGAAGGAACTTTTATCTCCATATCCAATACTAGAAACAACAACAACTAATCTCAAGGATACATTGAAATTATAGAAACAGCTTATTTAGCTTTCCCTACAGATGTGTTGGTACCTGGTATTAGATTATTTTTCAAAAGCTTTTCTAGATGTCCAAATGTAGGAATGTGCAATTTTCGAGCTTCTGTTTTATTTACTTCTCTGAACCATTCCCGTTCTTACTTCCATTTGCTTTTAATGTTACACAACCTCTCCAGATTCCAATGGAGATTCCCCTTTCAAATTAATATTTTATTTAGAAAGAGGTCATATTATTTCTCCGTAAGTGACTAATATGTCCTTGAGGGAGGGGAATCTCCCTCTATTGTCTACTTCCTCAGACACTTGCCAAAGGCTTTCATTTTTGTCAGAGACTTCCTGCAGAACTCTCAAAAGTTGCAGTAAAAACACTGACAATTAGAATAAACTGAAGAAAATCTAACCCTTACTTGAATTGAAAGAGTCATATCTGGGGAATTGGTCCACAGAGAAGCAAGTGCCTTCAGGCCAGTACTGAGCAGCCAGGAATTCCTTACACAGGGTTTGTTGAATGAATAAAGTGGATGTGGAAAAATTAGAGCCTTAGATAACTCTCTCTTTGGCTGAGAAACTTGCTCAGCAAGGTGATTTGTGAGTCTCTGTGCCCTTTGTAAAATCATACTCAGCTCTGCCTTCAAAGCTGATCCCCTTCGTGTCAGCTTGTAATGGTCTTCAATCACCTAAAATTCCCAGAAAAAAAAGAAAAGTGAGTCAACGCTCCAGACAGTACAGCAAGCTGCTTCTCAGGTCACTGTGCATTCTTCCATGCCACCTACCACCCCCCACCCACCTGAGGTGACATATCTCTTAAGACCTAACTGAGCAACTCTGGAATTTAAGGAAATGTTTGTAACTTGTGGCAACTTGGGAATGATTATTATAGTGATCAAATCATTTAAAAGTTTCCAAACACTGTTCTGTATCTTGCCTGTGTCAATAGCAATATCTTGATTTTGCAAGATTTTACCATCAGAGAAAACTGAGTAAAGGGTACCCTGGGTGCTGCTTTATTACTTTTTACAAACTGCATGTGAATCTGTAATCACCTCAAAATAAACAGTTTAATTAGGAAAAAAGTTTCCAAAGATTTAAAATGTAATGTTAAGTCCAGATTACTGGACTTCTCATCACCAAAATAGAGAAATTTAGTCAAACCTTTCCAGATGTGCAGTAGGTATTAAGTTTGAGCTCCTGGGCAAATTTTTCTGGGAGAGCTGCCTTAGCTTTTTTCAAACACACACACAAAATCCTATTTCTTCAATCAATCAACAGCTCAAGTAGTGTTACACCAAGGAGTAGGAGTAGTAGCTGATGCATGCGGTCTTCTTTCTTGAAGTCTAACTTATTTTATGTTGCCTTTTGCTCTTTCCTTATTCCAGTGAGTCACATGGGCTATTAACCTCTCAATAAGCTGAGAAACATGATCGCTGACGACGAGGAGAGTTCCAGTGATATTAATATTGCATCTAAATGCAATTTTCTGAGTGTTCCGTAAATAGCAGTATTTAGTATTGAATAATTATAATCAACTAGATTACAGTCGTAGAGAGGCAGATGTTGTTCAAACTTCCAAACTGACTTTGGGGCATTCTTTAGCCAAATCTTGCAGAGGGTGCTTGGGCATTAGTTAGATAATAGAGACCTAAGGAACCAAAATAAATGAAATTTAGGGAAACCCGTTATTATCACCAGGAACAAAGAGAATGACATTGATGGCGTATACAGAATTTGTGAATTTTAAACTTCATGCCCACATGTTGTTTTATTTGATCCTGACAATCAGTGATACATATTATTCAGATAAATTTTATCCTCTTCTTACAAATGAAGAAATTTAACCGTGGACTGCCTGAGTGGTTTGAGATAAATAAAGCAAACGAGGCCTGGCTTTCCTAAAAATACTCCTTTTGAAAGGAAT